CTAGCCATAAATAAAGGACATTGAGCCTATAATTCGGGTTCTTAGGGAAGCTAAATAAGGAGAACCCAAAGAAAAACATATAGGCATCCTCCTGAATAGTAACCTTCATCAGGCGATGAAAGGAAACAGAGACAGAGACCCACGTTGGAGCACCGGACTAAAATCTCAAGGTCCAAATCAGGAGCAGAAGGAGAGAGAGCACGAGCAAGGAACTCAGGACCGCGAGGGGTGCACCCACACACTGAGACAATGGGGATGTTCTATCGGGAACTCACCAAGGCCAGCTGGCCTGGGTCTGAAAAAGCCTGGGTTAAAACCGGTCTTGCTGAACATAGCGGACAATGATGACTACTGAGACCTCAAGAACAATGGCAATGGGTTTTTGATCCTACTGCACGTATTGGCTTTGTGGGAGCCTAGGCAGTTTGGATGCTCACCTTACTAGACCTGGATGGAGGAGCGTGGTCTTTGGACTTCCCACAAGACAGAGAACCCTGATTGCTCTTTGGGCTCTTTGGGGGAGGGGGAGGGAAAGGGGAGGCGGCGGTGGGGAAGAGACAGAAATCTTTAATAAATAAATTAATTAATTAATTTTAAAAAAATAATAATAATTTTATAATCATCAGTGTAGAGAACACTGCCTCGCATAGCTATGTTGTCCAAAACATCAGAAGTATCTTGGTGCCAATTCAGGACCTGGAAATACTGCACTGATCCCAAAGAGACATTCATTCAATGAATCAGCAACTCAAGCAACTATTTAAAAACATGTACTTACCTCTGGGGTCCATGGAGCATACGTGGAGACCACAGGACAGACAGCATGGGCTGGTGTTCTCCATCCACTATGTGGGTCCCATGGATTAAATTAAGCTCTTCAGATAGGATATAAGTACCTCTCTCTACAGAGCCATTGCCGGCTCCTTTAAACAATGTTGGTTTTTGTTTTGTTTTTAGTCAAACTTCCCAACACAGTACAGTCCAAATGTGTGCTAACCTGACACATGCTGAAGGATGAGAGCAAGAAAATGTCGTATTTTCCATGATTAAAGTGTTACTTGTGTACAGTAAAAACAAATACCGCAGTTTATAATATATAACAGTCTGGTCTCTAGGGTCCAGGAAGAGCTCATTGGTTCTGGGTGGAATGGTAGCATACATAATGTAAAATACAAGAGTTGTGTGCTCAGTACCAAGGCGACATCATGCAACACAGGCAAGCACTGCCAGGAATATTCTGTATTCATTACATGTTTATTTTATTTTGAATTGATTTGGAGACTGTACACATTTAAAAACATTTTCCTGTTGCCCAAGATCTGACAATCCCCACAACCTGTTACATGATCCTATATGAAACTGTGGTACAAATTCTATGCACTAAACATGTTCACTTAAGATACTCAAGAAAATTAGCTATAGTGACATTATAGATATCTAGAGACAAGCTGAGAGTACCCTCATCACCTTGGAGTATACAAAGTTTATGAAAGGGTTGTAAAACTCCATAGTCATAAACAGAAAAACAGATGGATTGTTCTATACAAAATCTGAAAGGGTGGTTTATGAGCCAATGACCAAGAAGGGAAGCCAGAGTAAAGAAAGAAAGACATTTCACAAATATGTCCATAATATTAATGACCAGTATTTGAAAGAACTACAAAAAGGTATGAGAAAGACAGAGATCTAAGCAAATATTTCACATTTTAAAAGTGATCTAAAATACCACTTAAATATGAAAAATCTTTTAGGTATAGTGGATCACAGATTTAATCCCAGAACTTGGGAGACAAAGACAGGCATATCTCTATGAGTTCAAGGCCAGCCTGGTTTACAGAGTGAATTCCAGGCCAACCAGGGATATATAGTAAGAGCCTGTCTCCAAAAATTAATAAACCATACAATATTAAAAAAAACTAGGATCTCATAATTCATCAGAATGGCTAAAATGTAAATGAGCTCTGTAGCTGCTGAGGGTAGGAGAGCAACGAGGTTCCTGGTGGAGCCAACTCAGTCATATCAGAAAGTTGGTGCAGAATATTGAACTATCAAAGGTGTGTTACATTTGTTTATGATGCATTTGTTTAACAATGTAAAGATGTGTTGCTTTGCCTGACTAAGGTACCTAATTGGTCTAATAAAAAGCTGAACAGACAATAGCTAGGCAAAGAAGGGATAGGTGTGGCTGGCAGGAACAGAGAATAGGTAGGAGGAAGAATCTAGGCTCAAGGAGGGAGAAGAGAATGAGGGAGACACCCAGGTCCTGCCAGTAAGGCAACCACCAGACAGACAGACATGGAGGAAATAGCAAAAGTAGGACATACAGCATGAAAGAAAAGGCCCCAAGGCAAAATGTAGATGAAAAGAAACAAGTTAAAATAAGTTATAAGAACTAGCAGGCTGGCGTGGGACCGACCTAGGCCCTCTGCATATAGATGGCAGTTGTGGGTCTTGATCTTTTGTGGGTTCCCTAGCAGGGGGACCAGGACCTGTCCCTAATGCATGAGCTCACTCTTTGGAATCTATTCCCTATGGTGAGATGCTTTGCCCAGCCTTGGTGCAAAGGGGGGGAGCTTGATCCTTCCTCAACTTGATATGTCATGCTTTGTCGACTCCCATGAGGTCTTACCCCTTCTGAATAGAGACAGAGGAGGAGTGGATGGGGGGGGGCTAGAAGGGAGGTGGTGGAAGGAAACAGGAGGAGAGGAAGAAGGAAAACTGTGGTTAGTATGTAAAATAGATAAAAAGAGCAAGTGGTACAAACATAAAGGCTCCATGTCATGATTTAGGAGCTGTTTGGAAGTCTCAAAGAAACCTGCTACAGAAAGTAAAAAGCACTTGCTGGATACAGTGTTACATAGTCTACAAGCTAGGAATTCCACCCAAGTGATGCCCAGTAGAAATGGGTGTGCATATCCACAGGAGACACACAGAACATGCTATCTGTCTCAGTCACAAAAGTGTGTATTAACACGCTTCCCTTTGAGAGTCCCTCCTGAGCTGGAACAGATTAATCTGATTATCCCTATGTTTTTCTCAGGGCACAGGGAGAGTGATGTGACATAAATACCTGAGGCACTGGTAAATACGAAATTAATTATGGTTTATTAATTAAGGCCAAGGTTCGGGTCCAAAAAGAAACAATGGGGAAAGTCATCTGTAAGAAAAGAATGAGGGCTTCGATCACTTCTTACTGCAGGGAGCTTTGTTGGCCCACTGTCAGTCTGGAAGCTCAACTTTTAAAAAATTAAATTTGAAAGCAATCCACTCACATAAAAATGTGAAAGAATAAACAGTACAGAAAGATATAATAAAAGCCTACTTCTCCCTTAGTCTCTCAAATACAACTGTTGATTTTGTGCACGCTTCAAGGACCACGTATCCTTAGAGATTGTCACAGATACATACATTCCATTGCTTACCTCCGTTCCCTAAAGGGTGCACTGCAAATACCAATCCGCACCTCAGTTTCTCTCTCACACCCTTTGCATACGTGTAGCTTCACTTCACCACTGATGGTGTCATTGTACAATCCCACAGCCACAATCATGTTTGATGCTTCCATGCTCAGTGATAAATGAGAGACATCTTTCAAAAAACTATCTTCTTGTAGTTTCCTTAAGGTAATTTCCCAACAGCCAAAATGTGGGGTTGGGAGCACGTGATTCTTAAAAACCCTCACTTTCCCCCTTTGCCTGTAGGGGAGGAAACTAATTAATAGTTAGATTTCGGTACTCCTACTTCCCTTTTTTGGCTGAAGATGCACTCGTGTTTTAGAAGAGCAGTTTCCCAGATAGTCTCACTGGAGCTGGTGAGAGCTGTGCACTGGCTACTGTGAGAGCAAGAGCCAACTGCTACCTGTGAGGAAATGCCTCCATCAGTCTCGCCCTGGGTGGTCTTCACACTGCTGTGGCTGACTCCACCGGTTGTGAGTGAGTAGACACTGTGGGTCTGGAGTGGGTCGGGCAGCATCCATCTCTCCCAACACAGGCCTGGCTGTCTCCTGCATTTCAGAGCCACAGAGTTCCCCATGTGAGGCTGTATTCCCCAACTTTCTACACCACTCAGGATTTCCCCTCCTGATCTCAAGGAAAACAGTCCCGGGTGGAAAATGCTTCAGCTGGCAGAGGAAGAACTGCGACAACAGCAATGATTAAAGTTTCACCTGGTTTTCTTTTCTTTCACGAATGCTTTGTGAAGAACAGAAAGTGACTTGCACTTGTTTGTTCACTCTTACCCACATGACAGCTTTATTCGACTCCCTTCTGTGCCGGGCTGTTCCTGGTCTTGTGCATGAGCTGACCAGGGATTCACATAGAGGACAGCTCCGTCTGCACATTCATGACGGCCGGAGATGGACTGGGCACAGAGAGAACACTGTGGAAGTCAGAGGTGGCCACATGGGAAATCAGGAAGGGGAGGGCACCTACAGCAGCTGACAATGTTACTGCTCATGGATACACACTTCTGTCAGTTCATACCTACAAAATGTTTGCTTTTTACTAAGTTTTAAATATTGGAATTAAATGTGGGTCCACCTAGTAAAAAAAATCTTAGACCCCTCTATGTGCAATATTGCACACAATGCTGAAGACGGTGGGATGTTTCATGCCCACGAAGAAAGCAAGAGCTTTCAGCAAAGCCAGTGAGCGAAAAAAACCAGCTGGGAAATGTAATTCCAATTAAACAAAGTCCCAGTGGGTGGCAGAGACAGGCAAGTATCTACACACAAATCAACTGGTAAATAGCTCCTGAAACACAGGGGCTGGGCGGTGGATGGGGCAAGGACCCCACAACTGCAATGAACTGTTATCTCAGAAACAGAAGCACATCCTGGCATGGCACAAGAGGGGCAGGAGAAGAGAGGGTAGAAGAAAGAAGGGGAGGGGTAGAGAGTGTCACTATGGTGCACGGGGATGCGGGGTCAGAGTTTGGATTCAAAACTGTGTTACTACCTACTAGCCACTTAACCATGTTCTTGCTCCCTCTCTCCCTCCCTTCTTTCCTTCCCTCCTTCCTTCTTTCTTTCTTTATGGAAAATGGATCCTTTCACACATATTATAACCTTATTACGATTCCCCCTCCCTATATTCCTCCCAGTTCCATCCCATCTCCCCTCCATGCAAATCCACTCTCTTTCTGATTCTCATTAGAAAAGAACAGGTTTCTGAGAGATAATAATAAAGTATCATAAAATAAAATACAATAAGGTTAAACAAAAACTATTACATTGAAGTTGAACAAGACAGACCAACAGAAGAAAAGACCCAAGAGAAGGCACAAGAATCAAAGACCCACTCATTCTCACGCTCAGGAATCCCATGAAAACACTAAACTGGAAGCAAGAATATATACTCAGAAGACTTATACCCAGTGTAGCCCTGTGCAGGCCCTGTGCATGCTGCCTCCGTCTCTATGAGTTCATATGAGCTCTGCTCATGTTGATTCAGAGGGCCTTATTTTCTTGGTGTCCTCCATCCCCTCTGGCTCTTACACTCTTTCTGCATCCTTTTCTGCAGGGTTCCCTGAGTTCTGGGGGGAGGAATTTAAAGAAGACATCTTATTTAGCTCTCTCTCTCTCTCTCCAGGCTGTGGGTCTCTGTATTTGTTCCCATCTACTGCAGGAAGAAGCTTCTCTGATGATGGCTGAACATGCACTGATCTACGAGGATAGCAGATTACCATTAAGAGTCACTTAGTTACTATATACATACATACAAACGTATATGTATATGTATATGTTAAGGCCAGTAGTATCTCTGGACTTCCTAGTCTCTGGTTCTTGGTCACCTATAAAGTGCAGTGTTGGGTATGGGTTCCATCTCGTGGAGTGGGCCTTAAGTCAAATCAGTTACTGGTTCATTACTTACACAAGTTTTGTGCCACCATTGCCCTAGCATGTCTTTCAAGCAGGACACCACTGTATATCAGAAGGTTTGTGGATGGCTTGGTTTACAGCGTGAAGAGTACCTTCCTTTACCAAAAATACTAGAACATTGGAGTAAAGGCTCTGTAGGCACCAGTTCAACATCTCAATGTTCAACGAGTTGTGTGGGTATTGTCTTCATCAATGGGGCCTTGCTGCCAGATTGAGGAAAGCAACCTATAGTCTTGTCAGCAGCCTGGGCTGTTTGGAGATTCCCACGGGATCCCTTTGTCCAGCAACTCAATTAGATATAACCCAGGCCTAGTAGTAGAAGTTTTGCTTGGTGACAAAAGATGGCCTGTGGGACTCTGTCTCCCCCATTAGTTAGTAATTTCACTTAGACTGTCTCCATATATGTATATATTTTAGGAAGCTTCTACTGCATTAGTTTCTCATACTATCCCTTAAATGCCATTTAATTTTAATTGTCTCTCCCTATATTCCCTCCTTTCAACCTCCTCCCCCTCCCTCTCCCCACTTGATCCTCCCATTCCTGTCCCCTTCCATCCATCCATCCATCCATAGTTATGCATTCTATTCCCCTTCCTAATGAAATCTATCTGTATCCTCTAGTCCCTTACTCTACACCTATACACTGTGGTTGTATAGATCATAGCTTTGTTATCATTGACTTAATAGTTAATATCCACATATTAGTGAATACATACTCACTCAAAATGATTTTTTTCTAGTTTTCTCCATTTGTCTGAAAATTTCATGATGTGTGTTTTGTTGTACTTTGTTTTTGTTCTTGTTTTATATGGATGGATAATATGTCATTGTTTAAATGTACCACATTTTCTTTATCCATTCTTCTGTTGAGGAGTTTCTAGATTGTTTCAAATTTTTGGCTATTTTGAATAGAGCAGCAGTGAACATGATTAAGCAAGTGCGCAAGTGTCTGTGTGGTAGGATGAAGCCCAAGAGTGGTATAACTGGGTAGTGGAGTAAATCGATTCACATCTTCCTAAGGAACAGCCACCTGATTTCCACAGTAGCTCTACAAGCTTGTACTCCCACCATCAATGAATGAGTCTTCCGCTTATTCAACATCCTCACCAACATGAGCTGTCAGTTGCTTTATTGATCTTGGCCATTCCAACAGGTGTAAGATGGAATCCCAGAGTAGTTTTGGTTTACATTTCCCTGATGGCTAAGGATGTTAGACATTTTGTTCAGCTAAACAACTTTCTTATCTATGAAATGGCACTTAAGTTATAATGTTACTGACAAAGACTATATGAAATGATATGTGTAATTGCATACCAAGTAGGAGGTCCTCAAATACAAAAGCTATGGTGACCGTGGCATGTGGTGACTACTCACTTGGTCTCAATAAAATACTAGGGTTTAAGTTACCCTTCCATCATTTCCAAGGAGACAGGGGATGTGTCTGTCACTCACAGACAGATTTTCATTGCATTGCCCAGTAAACGACTGGCATTACAGAAAATTCTTTCAAGTGAAAGAATCAAATCCATCCTTTTTCTGGATCATTTATAAATTAATAAACCCACTAAGTTTTGCCACCTTTCTCTCCTTGTTACTCACGTCTCCAACCTGGCCTGTTTCTACCATCACTAGCCTAGTTTGTTTGTTTAACTGAGTCATTATTCCAAAAAATCTCAAAGCTCTTCCATTCCACAGCAGGCCTTCTGATGGAGAGCAGCCTTACAAGTGAGCAATAAGCATGCACACAATCCAGATAAGCCTGGATAAATACTCTGAAGAAAGTTAACCTTTGCATCACCCAGCTACAGTATTTCCCATCCTCTCTGTGGAAGGCTTCTCTCTGCCAGAACACTCTGTCAAAGCTTCACCTTCTGACTTCATCACATTCCTGGAGCTCTTTCTATGGTTCTCCGTGGCTTCTACAAGAAAATGGGAGCTACTCACGTGGCCCTGCCTTCCTCCCCAACTATATTTCTCTCATCACTGCTCACCTGCCAGAGCTGCTCAGGCCACCTCTGAACACCAACACCCTTTTTTCTGTGCCTCTCTTGCCTTGATCACCCTCTCTGTGTTCTTAGGCCAGACATAAGCATCAACCTTCACTTGGATGGTTCCCGTGTTCTTGGTCATAATTTCCTTTGCTATCATTGTACCTACCTTCCGTATTATACTTGTTGCCAGAAAGTAGCACTTTTAAATTTATCTTTAAAGTTCAAGGGCAATATCTTCATATATACAGACATATGACAAACAGTTGTCAGCATTTTTATAAATGAATTTTTCATGAGAAGTAGTAAAATGGATATGGAAAGATATTATCGTTTTGAATAAGAAAAAGAAAGTTCTTACTTGTACTTTCATCTCTAACTCTTGACTTTATTGTTTATTTTTGTTTCCAGCTCCTGTCAGTAGACAATATGGTGAGTCCTTTTTTCTGCTTTGTGAGTCCTTGGTAAGAGTTTCTCCCTAATGTCTTGTATTTTCCAGCTAACGATGATGGGTTTTAGTGAAATCGGCTTCTATGAAACAAGGCAGTTAAGTGCATGATCTCTCAGGCTTTTCTAGTGTCAAAACCTGATCATAAAATTACTTTTTTTTTTTTAGGGAAAATGCAAAGTTGTGATTTTAATGATTCTGTAGTTCCTTTTGGGCTTATGAATGATGAAATGGCAAAGGAAGAGGTGTTTTATCTAGGACCCTCTTCCAGAGCAGGCTAGTTAACCACTGATGTTACAGTAAAGCCTGCTATCTTTGTTCCCAGAGATTGTCTTGCCAGATTGCCATCAATGGGCAATCACTCTTCCCTGTGGGTGGTGAGTGTTCTCGGATGTTAAGCAGCCTTCAGTCGTCAGTGAACTTGGTGGGTAGGGCTCTTGGGAATGGCCCAAAGCCAGGTCCTCCCTGCTTATCCCACAGGGCCATCAGTGAACTTGGGGGGTAGGGCTCTTGGGAATGGTCCAAAGCCAGGTCCTCCCTGTCTATCCCACAGGCCCTTCTGGGGCTGAAACTGTGACTTCTCTGCTACAGACTAATTTCCTCTCATCCTCAGAAACTGCACCCAAATCTGTGATTTCTCTTGAGCCTCCATGGACCACTTTCTTTCAAGGAGAGACAGTGACTCTGACTTGCTATGGATTTGGCTTCAACTTACCCCAGAAAACAAAATGGTACTGGAATAGCAAAATAGTAGAAGAAATCCAAGGACACACCTTCAAAGTCCGCGTGTCTGGAGTGCACCAATGCCAAGCCGACAACTTACATCTAAGCATCCCTGTGCACTTGCACTTTTCCAAAGGTGAGATAGAAGAGAAATAAAGCTTCTGACCCCATTCAGTCCAGTTTTCTCTATAGGTTTAATTACTACTCACCACAAATGAACAACCCGTTCTATTTCGTGCCATGAAAACTTAATCTCTGTGTAAAATTAGATATAGAACAAAATTATCTTAAATTTAAACCAAAAAAATAATAAAGTTTAAATTGTCTGTATAAAATCTAGTCTGTCTAGTAGGCAGTAACTTCAAGTAGAATATACATAAGGTATAGTTGTTACTAACAGTTAATTTAGTTCAAGATGAGTCAAATACATCCACCCACTTCTATCCCTGTGGTCCTTAAATTTTGGTCTGAATCAGACTCTTTGTGACTACACAGAGACTTGAGACTTACCCTGTATTTACAGACTCAAAACTTGATTGTTTTTAAGATTTATTTATTTATTATGCATAGAATGTCCTGCTGGCATGTATGCTTACATGTCAGAAGAGGGCACCAGATCTCATTATAGATGGTTGAGAGCTAACATGTGGTTGCTGGAAATTGAACTCAGGACCTTTGGAAGAGCAGGCAGTACTCTTAACCTCTTAGCATCTCTCTAGCCCAAAACTTGATATTCTTGAACCCCAAGAATATGTAGTGTTTATAAACTGCTCATGGAGAAGCAATAAAACTATTTAAATATTAGATAGAAATAAGTTGATTGATTTTTTAATAGATACACAAAGGGGGGAGGGGTCAGGGAGGGAGAACCTGATCTGAAGTTGAAGTAGTGTCAGCCTGTGACAACTGCCTTTGATTTAGTAAGCAAGAAAAGACACTATTAGCAAGGAAAAGGGAGAAGCTATGCTGCTCTTTGGTCTAATGATTCCCTTGAACACTTACCTACTGAAGCATACAAATCTACACACCCCAAAATGAAGGACCCTAAATGGACAGGAAACCTTATTAAATTATATTGCTGGTATAGAGGGAAAACTATGGCTACTGGAAATCAGTTTGCATCTTGAGAAATAAAGTACTAGCCAAATAAACTAGCAAATAGATACAGAGTAGATACAGATTATTAAAATCCCCTAAGAGAGAAAAAAAAAAAATACAGAACCTCAGGTACACCAACATGGGAGAAGGAACTGGAAGATTGCATTCCCAATGGTGACGGAAACTTTTTTACTTACCTTCTGCTGCCCCACTTTTATCAAACTGCAGGTATGTGTTTGAACTAAGAACACTCTCTCTAGTTGCACTTCCTGTAAAACCTACTTGGACAGGAATGAAAAAGTGATGGCATGCCATGTTTCACAGATCCATTGGTGCTTCGAGGCCCACCTGCTGTGTTTGAGGGAGACTCTGTGGTTCTGAGGTGCGATGCAAAGAAAAGTACATCACGAAAGAGCCTGACATTTTACAAGAATGCAGTCCCTCTGCAATCATCTGGTCGAAGTTCTGAGCTCGTTATTCAGCACGCAGATCAGAGGGCCAACGGTCAATACCACTGCACTAAGGAGGGGTTTTGGTCCAAAATTTCTTCCAATACAGTCAGAGTCCAAGTCCAAGGTACAACTTTAACTATTCTGAACAGATTTTTAGTCATAGGCAGGCTCTCTGTGTTTGTAGAAGCAGAATAGGAAGGAAGGGTGGACTAGAAGTCCACTGGGAGAAAACACAGTCTTTTGGATGGAAAGATGTTGGTAACCGAAAGCGGCACCTCTCTTTTGCCAGTGTTTGGTGAGCAACACCACTCCACATGCTGGTGCTGAGGATGAATTGGGGTTTTCTGAAGAATACTTAACTGTAGTGTAATGTTTTACTCTTTTGGCTTTTAGGGAAATCCACCACCAAGTTCACAAATAAATCACTCATGGAGGCTTATTCTTAGTTATGAATGCCTGGCCTTAGTTTGTCTTGTTTCTTGCCAGTTTTTCTTAAATTATCCCATCTAGCTTTGGCCTCTGGGCTTTTATCTTTCTCTGTCCCTATCTTCTTTCCTTCTTACTTCGTGACTGGTTGTGCAGCTGTGTAGTTGGTGGCTGACCCCTGAAGTCCTCCTTCTCTCTTTCCCAAATCTCTGCTCCAAAATTTTTCCTCATATTTATCCTCTCTGCCTGCCAGTCCCACCTACTCCTCTCTCCTTTCTCCTGTTCCTTTCCCTTACCCTGTTCCTGCCTTGCTATTGGCCTTTATTAGACCATCAGGTGTTTTAGACTGGCACAGTAACAGAGCTTCACACAGTTAAACAAATGCAACATAATCAAAAGTAACACAGTTTAACATCATATTCCCAGCACACACCTGCTCAGTGGATGGTTGTGGTCTTTCTAGAATTATTCCCACGTCCTGTGCTGATGGTCAGACCCTCTGAACTCACAGATGGAAGCCCGGTGACACTGACCTGTTGGACTCAGCTCCCCGCACAGAGGTCAAATGTCCAGCTCCGGTTCTGTTTCTTCAGAAACCTCAAGGCTCTGGGGTCAGGCTGCCGCAGCTCCTTGGAGTTCCATATCCCTGCCATATGGACTGAAGATGCAGTGTGGTACCAGTGCACTGCAGAAACAACGGATGCCCAAGTAAGCAAACGAAGCCTGCCAATCAGAATTACTGTGCAGAGTGAGTATCATTCTGAGATTTCCCGGGTATGGACTGGTTATGCAGAAGGGCACACCAGCTCGGGTCACTAGTCTCTATAGATAGTACTTCCTCATGCTTGTGGAAGGTGAATGAGGAAAAATATGAAACTCGTGTGAATATCCTTGATGATCTTTGAACCAAGAAAAGAAGGGGGGTTGTTCTTTGTCTCTGGATGCCTTTAGAGAAAGCTACTTCTTAATCTCCCAGACTTGTTTTCCTCCCAGAGCTATAGTCCTAAACTGTGAGCTATGGGGCAGCCTTGGATGAATGTTCTGCACGGCCAAACAGGTTTCTAGAACACTAGGTCCCTGGTACAGGCTGCTTAAAGGCAAGAAAGACAAAGGATGAAGTCTTGGCAAATAAACAATTCCACCTTGATGCCCTTAGAGATGGCGCTACACACACTATCACTTTTCCCTAAGGCTCTAAAGCAACATCACTTTATTAAGCATGACTGTCAGCCAGTGACTCTGCCTGACTGAATTTGGTCCAACACACAGGAAATCTAGTTGAACACAGTAGGGGACACATGGTCTAGGCTATCACGAGTGCGGAGGGAAGGAAAGAGACAGCATTACCTGTGAACTCACTCCCATTCCTAAGAAAACCCTATCGATCTGTTCATGGCTGTAGGGAATGGGTGTTCCTATGGCTACTGGAGGATGGACAGGTCAGAGAAACCAGAGGGCATGCTGTCCAACAGTCATATCAGTGGTTCCCAGCACAGTCTCTCCTTCAACACAACAATGCGTCCCACCCTCTATTCAACTACTATTTTTTTTTTTAGATTGAAGACTAATTTAAAAGGCCAGTGTCCTCAGCCAACATGCCTAAAACTGTCCCCACACACATACCCTTCCTTGGATTGCACGTCTATCCTGGACGCGCCTGACAGATATACTAGAGAAGTTAAGAAATGCCAACTTGAGGGCAGCTTATTATTTACATCAGTGCCCCATTCCCATCGACTGTGCTGTCACTGTACTCGGGACAGTCGTGTTTGATGTCGAGTCCCCCTTTCCCTTCAACTCTCCACCAGTTTTGCTAAGTGTGGAGCACTAGGTGACGTCTCTAGAACTGCCCTATCAGGATGGGAAGACATGAGGTTAATTTGGGCAGAATAGCCTATATTCCTGGTCCATATTTTTGACAAGGTCATTGAGGAAAACGGGTCCTTTTCTTTAGGCAGAAAACAGTCTCTGACCTCTTTCCACTTCCCAGAGAGCAGCCTAACTCTACTCTCAGGCCGCTTCTCACATGTTCTGCCTCTCCCACCCCTCATTTATGAGCATCCCGTCACCAAATGTCCCACACGTGTCATTCTTATTTTATTTAGGAGCTTTTGCAGACTTCCAAATACGCATCATCCCAGCCTCAAGGTTAGTGTTTGAAGGGCAGTTGTTGTTATTCAACTGCTCAGTAAAAGGGGTCCCGGGGCCCATCACACTTTCCTGGTACAAAAGAGACAAACTGAATAAGGAAACAAAGATCACTAAGTCCTCAGAGGCAGAATTCAAGATCTCCAGGGTAAACAGCAGTGATGCAGGAGATTATTACTGTGAAGCCAACAACAGTCGCCGAAGCTTTGTCAGCAAGGCAGTGGCCATCACCGTAAAAGGTACGTGTTGCCAGCATCCTCTAGGAATGGATCCTAACTGCACAGAGCTCCTTAGCGGGACTCAAGACAGTTGGGAGGAAGTGGATATTGTCAGTTACCAATAATCCAATGTTCTGAATAAGCTACCAACCATTACTCAAAGACTAACAGGAAAAACTTAGGAATAGAAGGGGCTGAGGGAGGTGGGAAGTCTCAGAAAGTCAAGTTGAGGAAAATACGCAGTGGTTAGGAATACACCTTTCATAAACCACAGATCACTTCTCAGTTGAAATGAATTGACTCCTCGTAAAGGAAAACCAGAGGGAGGCTAGAAACATACATCTTGGGAGAGATACCTCCTGACAAACCTGCTTACGTGAGCCCTCACTGCTGTGTCTTCAAGCCCTGGCAGCATGCTCTTTTCCTATCCCCAGGCTCCTACAGTGAGATGCTGTGGAGAATGTGTTAAGAGCTTCACCAGGAGGCCAAGAGAGTCCCTCCCTCCTTCTGACCCAACCTCCATCTATTGGTTTTATCATGAGACTGAAATCCTAAGGCCCCCAGACCTCAATACCTCTCTCTGTTCACTGAACATTTGAACTATTATTCCTGTGCCCAGGCAATGGAGCAGGGAGAAGCTACCGTCCATCAGAAGTAAGCAGCAGCCTTCAGGATGAGGTCACTTCCAGGACAGGTCAAACCCAGGACAGGTCACACCCAGGACAGGTCAAACCCAGGACAGGTCACACCCAGGACAGGTCACACCCAGGACAGGTCACATCCAGGACAGGTCACACCCAGGACAGGTCACATCCTGGATCAGGTTCCATGCTCCAAAAGGCTAGAGCTCCTATCCACAGTGACTCCTTACCTCCCCCTGCTCACCTGTAAATAAAGAGGAACATTCTGGTCACCTGGAAACCAGAAGGAAGGACCTCAGGACAGCACCCTGGAAGAGCATGTGAATTCAGAAGGGAGAATATCCTGGAGCGAAGCACTAACGACACCAGAGACTGCCATGGAGTCTCAAAATGCAGAAGAGCAAAGAGTTGATCTGGGAAAGGGTGTCAGTTCTGTGGTAGCAAAGCACAGACACCTCCCCTCAAGGCATCATTTCTGTAAAATGGAGGCTAGTCAAATAAGGAGCCAGGAGGGCCAAGGCCCAAGGGCGGGTGGGAAGGAGCAGATGAGCAACCAGCTTGACTTTCTAGGATTTTCATGACCCTCTTTCCAGAAATCCATTAAGCAAATGGGCTTGCATTATGTAGTTTTCTAGACCTTTGTTGAATAGTAGTGGTAAGAGATATGTCAGGTCCTAAAGAAACCCAGGATGAATGGCTAACTGTGGTGCCTATTAGCATACCAAAGTGTGTGCTGGCCTCCAGGATCTCTCGGGCAAGTACTGCTGCAGAGTCCCATCCAGGCTCTTCTCAGTTCTTCTCACCCTACCCCCTACACTAAACTTCTCCAGCCCATAGACTTCCCTTCCCCCTACTTCTCATTCCTATACAACCCTGCCATTTGGGCCATTCACTCTCTTGTGTCACCCTTCTTGGTCCTCCTCTCTCGCTGCTGGCACCCCTTGCCCTCCTTGAATGGCCCAGTTCACTCTGTTCAGTCCACTACTTCCTCTTTGCATTCTTCGACTTTCCCACAGGTCTCTGGCTGTACTATCCCTCATAACAAAAACAAAAAACAAACAAAATCCTTCTCTTCAACCATACCTTAGAGCAAGCGGTCACGCCCTCATTTTATTCAGTATACAAATCCTGGTTGATCATTATCAAGGCCACTTGTTAACATCAGAAAAGACTCACTGGAAGAACAAATTTGCTTCTATTTGTACTTGGATCTTTGTTCAGGAGAAAGTAAAAATCCGGTGGTGGTGGTTGTTTTTCAAAGCAATAGAACATATTGTTGAAAACTACTGGTTCTGATGTGCCAGCCTGTTTATAGCACGAGAAAAGGGGCCAGGAGTCCTAGGTAAGTGAGAATTTGTTGCAAGGCTATCTTGAGAGTAAGGAAAAATAAGAAATACTGCATAGCCAATTCAGGGAAGAACTAGAAGATTTCTCACAATAGAATATATTTCTCAAAATAGAATTGTTGTTTTTTTGTGAGGTTTTTGACATTCAGTAAGCCAGAAGTCTCCATTATTCTATTAAGCCCTCCAATTATCTCCTTCCTGTATTTTCCTGTCTCTGTTGCCCTTGGTGCTGAGTGCTTTGATCTCATTTTCCCAGCCTCATGACTTCTGCTTCATAAGGCTTCTGATAGCCCCAGAATCTACTGGGGCTCCACTGCACTGAGCTCTTTATGTATTAGAGTCTCATCACTTTTAGGATTATGCTGGCTTGCCCTGTCACCTGGCGGGAAGAACCCAGACAGTACCCTGTCCCTTTAAGAGACAAGCTCCGCCCACTTCCAATCTCAAACTCATTTTTTGGCCCACAGCTCTGTCTCTCTCCCCTCTCCTCTCTTCTCTGTCTCTGTCTCTGTATGTGCCTCTCTTTCTCTCTGTCTGTGTGTCTCTCGGTCTCTCTGTCTATCTCTCTCTCTTTCTCTGTCTATGTGTCTCTCCCTTCCTCCCCTACTATCCCAATACACTCTTAAATAAACTCTACATTCAAGTTCTTTTTGCATCACGTATTTGGTTTCCCTCCTGAGTTCCTCACCTGCCATAGGACATACCAAGGTCCATCTCACGCCGATTCTTTCGATCACTGTGATAAAGAATTGACCACGACCAGCTTGGGGAGGAAAAAGTTTATTTCAGCTTACAGTCCACAGTTCATCCTCCAGGGAAGCCAACGCAGAAGTTTGACACAGAAGCCACAGAGGAGTGCTTTCTTCAGTAGCCCAGTACCACTTACCCAGGCATGGCACCACCTACAGTATACTAGGCTCTCCCACAGCAATTATTATAATCAGAACAATGCTTCAGTTGGGGTTTTAACATTGCTAAGGTCAAAAGCAGATTATAAACCAGTGTGTATATTGTGATCTCACGTACGTGTCAATGTATTTAAGTGTTGATGTGAGTGTACTGACACAAAGGAAAGATACAAAAAAATCTAGCTGTGATGGTGCAGAGCTATAATCTCAGCACTTGGAAGACTACAAGTTAATGTTCAAGGCCAGCCTGGTCTATCTAATCAGACTCTATCTCATGGGGAAAGAAAAACAATGGAGAAGGGAAGAAAGAAAAGGAATGGAGGGGAAAGACATGAAATACTAAACAGATGTGAGCCCTAGAAAATGAAAATACAGGACAAAAATTCTCATTGTATTTTTAATATATTGGGGTTTATTTAAAAATAAAAGACACTAGTATGAACTAACTCACTCTCTCCCTTAGTTCCAGTGGCCCGCCCTGTCCTCACACTTGGGGTCCCTGGAGCCCAGACTGTGGTGGGGGACATGCTAGAGCTTCACTGTGAAGCTCTGGAAGCCTCTCCTCCAATCCTGTTCCGCTTTTATTACCAAAATGTCACTCTGGGGATCAGCTCAGCCCTTTCTGGAGGAAGAGGGTCCTTCAACTTTTCTGTGACTGCAGAACATTCTGGAAACTTCTTTTGTGAGGCTGACAACGGCCAGGGGCCCCAGCGCAGTGATACTCTGGCTCTAAGTGTTATAGGTAAGTTAACTTCAAACCAGCCGTGCAGGGGCAGATCATCTCTCTACCATGCCCAGGAGGCAAGGTTGGAATGTTTTTCACAGAAGCAGCTACTGTGTGATGTCACAGCAAGCCTTCTGCCTCCGAAGTCTCTTTGGGTCTTACATACTGAAGAATTTGTACCTTTCCTCCATTAGTCTTATCCTGCCTGATAGCATTACTCTCCATCCATTGTGACCAGAAATATCATCTACCAGAGGATGAAGGCTTGTCTGGCCAACAGTCTTAGGTGGAAAGAGAAAGTTCAGTGTGTTCTGTTAACTGTGCTACTCCTTAAGATGAATCTGTACCCATCATCTGGGTATCCTGGTATCCCTGGGTATCACCTGGGTATCCCTGATGGTCCTAAACTGAAGATCCTAAAGACCTGCGTGTGTTATATCCCACTCTTCTTGAAAGCTCCTCAACTGGACATCTCTGGAAGGGATATTCCACTCAGGGTTGGGCTTCTTCAGGCTGTCTCTGCACATGAGACTCTTTCTTTCATCCAGATCTTCCCTGACACTTCTCTCCCTCCCTCCTCACAGCAAGTCCTACTGATATTCCTTCCCATGTGTTCCTTAGATTTTTCTCTATTTCCCCCTGCCATCAGCTAGCCAAATTCATTAATTCAATGACTGAAGTGCCACTCAGTGCCCCATCTGCTCCTCTCCTGCCCCACTTCCATACACTTCCATGCCTTTCCACTGTTTGATGAAGAGTCCTGACTGAGTCTCTGGCCTCCTATTGTATCACACTTACTGGGCCCTTTAACTGCCTCTACCTGTTGCAGCAACTCAAATGGGCCGGCTTAGCTCCCATCCTCAACCTCTGCACATACTGCCTGCTCCATAACCTCTCCATGAAGTCCCTCCACGCTAGATCCGGCCGCTGTTCCACAGCAGGTCAAGCCCACTTCTTTTCCTAGCAGTCCTCTCATTGCTCAGAGCCCAGCTTTCAGTTGTGTCTCTATTTTCAGATTCCTCAAACATGTTTGTGTTTTTGTGTTGTTACTTCAGAACACATCCAACATTACACATACATTCTCATTCCCCAAGACTGGAATAAATTATAGATGAGTTTTGAGAAAGCCTCTAAAGAATAATATAAAACATTTTGCAGTCCAAAAGGCCTTCACTGTAGAGGGCTGTGCTTAGACGGAAGGAACCAAGGGCTGCTTTTCTCCTCAGCCTTCCTGCCCGCATCTCCAGGGTCTCTGCGGTCCCAGCTGTGGTAGGGGACATGGTAAAGCTTCATGGTTTCCCCCTCTCCAATCTTGTACCATTTTTATCACCCTAGGGAGCAGTGCAGCCCTCTCTGAAATAGGAAAGTCCTTCAACCTCTTTCCGAATATGAAACACTTAGGGAACCACTCCTGTGAGGCTGGCCATAACCCGGGGTCCCAGCACAGTGAGGCATGGTGACAGTCGCTGTCACAGGAAGGCTGGAACAACCAAACGCTGGTCAGCACCCACTCCTTCCAGCAGCTGACCGCAGGGGCTGTTTCCTGACTTGGGGTCTCAGTACACAGCTGACCGCAGGGGCTGTTTCCTGACTTGGGGTCTCAGTACACATAGTTCCTTTCACCTTTCACTATCCATTCTAATCTTTTGGCCCCTCTTTTCTTTCCCCCTCTTTTTTCTTCCCAACAAGTCTCCTCCTACTTTCTTACCTTTATTTATTTTTGCTCTACACTTAATCAGGGTTCCTGCACAAACATGAGTTAGGATCATTTATTTAAACAAGGGTAACTTACCAGATGCCACACTACCGGGAAATAAAGCACAAACTATTTTTATAACAGGATCACATTGCACATTTAGCTATAAAACCTCTATTTTTAATTTATAATGAATTCTTTACCCAGTCTATCAGGTTGTCTCCAGGTTTTATTGTGTAACAGAAACATTACCATAGAAATCCTGCAAGAACTGTACACATGTAGTTATATTTATAATATATAATATATATTGCTATATAATATATTAGCATATTTATAATAAATGTATTATTGAAAACAAGTTTTTTCCACATACACACACTAAATAGGCCTTAAAAACACAAAATCAGAAACCATAATACACGAGCAAAAGGTCAATAAGACAAAAAATGCCCCAAAAAAACAATTTTAGATTTAAAAAAAAAAAAAGTCTACAAAAATACCGTGGAGTTCTTTTGTGTTGGTCATCCGCTGCTGGTCCTTAAGTGTGGTTGCCTTAGACTTTCTTTTATTGCTGTGAAGAGACACCACGCCCAAGTAGCTCTTAAAAAAGAAAACATTTAACTGGGACTTGCTTACAGTTTCAGAGACTTAATCCATTTTTATCATGGTAGAAAACACGGTGACAAGCAGGCATGGTGCTGGAGCAGTAGCCAAGAGCTGCAGGCTGATCTGTAAACAGAGAAGTGGGGCCTCGGCACGGGCTCTTGAAACCTCAAAGTCTAACTCCAGTGACAGTTTCTCCAAGTCCAGTGAGACACAACCTCCTGATCCTTCTAATCCTTTCAAACAGTGCCATCCCTGCTGGCTAAGCATCCTACTCAAACTACCACAGTGGTTAATATACCTCGTGAGACTCCAATGGAGAAAACTAGCTTTTCCTTTGCAAGCAGATATCAGTTGGAGATAGTTTCTTGCTCAGGGCTGTACGTCTGTGTCCATTTCCTCCTCCTCAGTGTGGAGTCCTATCTGCTGGCACCTGTGCAGGCCCTATGCCTGCTGCCACAACAGTTCTCATGCTTATCATTGCTGTTGTACCTGGAAGACACTGTTTGCTCTTAAAATCTTTCCGCCTTTTCTCCCCATAGCCCCCTGGCCCTGGCAGCACAAGGAAGACACTTAGGAATGAGTTCCAAAGCCCACATTCCCTGCACATTGACCAGTGTAGTTCCCATCTACTAAACTGCAAGAGGACGTTTCTCTGATGATGGCTGGGGGAGGTGCTTCTCTATGGGTACAGCAGAACGTCATAAGGACTCATCTGATTACTGTGTTACTTTAGCAGAACAATAGTATGCCTGGTCTCAGGTTCTTGCCCACCAGAACAGTGGAGCATATGGGCTCCATTTCATGGAGTGATCAATTACTCCCACAAAGTTTGTGCCATTATTGCACCAGCATATCATGAAAGCAGGTCACCATTGTAGACCTCAGGTTTTGTAGCTGGCTTGGTGGTCACCTTTTTGCCTCTGGAGCACTGAATAACATTTTTTACCTACTTGATCTCCAAGAAGATTGTAGGCTCAAAGTTTATGTGTGTTTTTAATTTTGTAGACGTTGTCAAACTGTCTGTCATTCAAAAAATGCCTTCAGTTTGCATTGCCAAAACTTCATCATTATTGTCAATCTATTTAAAAACGAAAGAAATAATAGTTTATGGCTGGGTTTAATTGCATATTTAATTAATAATGAAGATGAGTCTTTTGTATATTTATTGGCAGATGCTTTCAAGAATTTGTAGAATGCTTTTTGCTTTCTATTGAATATTTTTGTACATGAAAAGCTATTTTTGGGTCAAAGCTTTCAAATGTGTCAACTGTTTTATTTTATTTGCTAGTGATACTATTTGTCCCTTGTAAGGGTAACACATGTGAGAAGCAGAAGCTTCCACTGAGGTTTCATTTTCATTCAGCTCCCGTGTCCCACCCTATCCTCACACTAGGGTCCCTGGGGGACATCTCTGCTCCCTCTGGAGAACGGGTGTCTGTCGACATCTCTCTTCTGGAAACTTCTTCTGTGAGGCTGACAATGTGCCTAAGGCCCAGTACAGTAAGGAAGTGACACTTTTTTAAAGCACTGGTAAATCTCTCATGCTCAAGCCAGATGGGACCAGAACATATGCTTCAACACACAGAGCTCACGATGAGTGACCAGGAATGCCCTTCTCCAAGACAAGTACCTGAGCTAATGGCTCCCTGCACCCTTATACTCCGAAGTGGTTCTTAATTGGTGCAGCGGAGTGAGGCTTTAGGGAACATCTGGGAACTTCCAGCTCATCCGCGCTGCCTCTCCTCCCCGGCCACAATCTGTCTTGACCCTTAGCCTTTCCTTGGGCACAGAGATTCAGTACCAAGACAAGCTTCCTCACCAACAAACAAGCAGAGCAGAGCTGTCTCCTGCGCCGCAGCCTCAGGACTTCTGCTCACAAAGGTTCCTCTCCTCCCCGATGCCAAAACACCAGTTTGAAGACTCAGAGTCATTCAAAACTGCACACCTCTTCCTGGTCTTATGTTTGGGTGCCCTCTGCTCCCCAGACACAACCAAGAACAGAAGAGTTCCTGTGGCTGCTGGAGTCGCCGGGGGACTGCTCGCCGTGGCTGGCACGGCTGCTGGAGTGCTGCTTTATTGCTGGTTCTCTAGAAGAGCAGGTGGGTGGCTCCCTAACCGTGCCCTTCCTATCTCGACTCTGGTCCTGCATGCCCACACTGACTATGTGGCCATCCCTCGGCTCTCATGAGCGCCTCCTCCTCCATCACACGATCCCTCACCTTTCTCTTCGGTCCTTCAGAAGTCCTGTTTACCAAATATAAAGTTGCTCAGCCACATCGAGAACAATATGGCTCGATGGGATGTCATTTGTAAAACCTCAGAAAGGGCAGAGGCTCTGTGTTCATAAGATTCCCTAAGGAATGGGAAGAAGAAAAGGACGCTAAGAGATGGAAATCAAAACAGAACCCAAATAGAATTTGGTCCTTTGCTGCTTTTTTAAAATGTGTAGCAGTTTTATAGATGATCAGGTCTATTTTCCTGTCTGAGGCTATAAACTCTCTGTAGTCATTAATGACCACTGCCATTTCAAACCCAGGTTAACGGGGGACAGATTAAGAAGTTTCCTTTCCCTTGAGGCCAGCATCAATAATTCAGTTGTTTCTATTCCTCCTCCATCCATCAGCAAAGCAAAGACTCAAATCTCAGTAACGAAAGTTCCTGGCAGTCTCTGTGTGAGCCACATCTGAGCTGTCTCCTAGTCCCCACAAAGGTCCCCTCTTCCTAAAACACAGTGTCTTCCTTTACAGGGGGAAAGTCTGCCTCTGGTGACTCCAGGTAAGAACATGGCCTTATTTCTGGAAGTAATGAAACATCCACAGGACAAAAAAATTAAAGCAAATCTTATTATCACTAAGAGCACAATTTCTACAGTGTTGCTGAGGTGGGTTGTGCCCAACTGATGCTGCTCCTCCTTTGGGTTATCTCCAGCCAATTCCCTGAAGCTCCACCTTAGCGACAGACAGCAAATCCTCCTTCCCACGTCAAGTAGCAAGTGTTTCTCATTTATTAACCCACTTCCTTATACCACTGTTAGCTTGACATCTAAATGATCACTTTGGCAACTAACAGGGAAATTGAGGTTCCCTTTGGGGGTTCTTATTCTCATTAATAAAAGAATTTAGAAACAAGTTTAGAAGAAAACTCAGTAACAATTTTATTAGAATTTAAGAAAAAAAATATAGACAGGATAGGTGAAAATCCTGGTGCTACCAAGGAGGGCAAAGTCAGGCCTTTTAAGGTGAGCAGCATGGAATAGAAATCGTTTATTAAAAAAATAAATATCACACCCAAGAATGGAAGTAGGCTAGTGAGCAGAGAAAAAAGCCCAAAAGCCAGCCGACCATGTGGTAGATGGTTTTTAGAACCCCTCCCTCCCATTTGTAAGTCTTGGGCTATGTTTCACACATATTCTCTTTGTTGGATAATGCCAAGGTGAGAAAGGGCTTCTAGTCTTCCTCTGCAAACTTGGCTACTTTCACAATAATCATGAAAGTGCTTTTTTAGTCATTTTTCTCCTATCACAGAGACATTGACTCCATCCATATCCTGAGGTGATATAGCTTAATTAGCCTAGAAATCTGTGGGCATGGCTGGCATAGTCAAAACCCATGCCAAGAGAAGTGACTCTGTCAACAAATAGTGTCTGTGGAGAAGTGGCCACCAGCCTGCATCCTGAAGGCTCACAAACATGTCACCTCCCATGGTGGCTGTGTCCAAACCACCAGAGTTCCTTGGAGCCTAGCTGATCTTTGTTTCTCTGAGACTGGTACCTCTGAGAAGGGTGTCAGGCCTGTTTTAAGTCTTGGCTCTTCCCCTTTCTAGTTTAATAGTGTTAGCAAGTTACTTAGCTTTCTAGAATGCCCATTTTTTACACACATAAACCAGAAACAATGCAGAACTAAATATATCTAAGTACTAGCCGGGTGCCTCTTACATACCATGTGGCCATAAACCTAAAAAAAAAAAAAAAAAAAAAGGAATAATGTTGACTGAAAACCCATTAAATTGATGATCTCACTTCCTGACAAACATCAGTGTTTCTATATCTTACAGGAACCCTTCATATTCAGAATCCCAGGAGCCCACCTATTACAACGTACCAGCCTGTATAGAACTGCAGCCAGTATACAGCAATGGTGAGGACAAGGGCTGTCCAGTCTCTGGTTCGGCAGAAATCACAGGATACATATTAGAACAGGGTCAGGAAGATGGTAAAGCCTCGAGGACTATAATCCTTCCATAGAGCAAACTGGCCAAGGGAGGGGCACATAGCTGAGAAAAGAGGCTGACTCCTTATCATCTGACACTTTATCTTCTTCCTAATCAGACCCTAAAGGAGAAGTGATTTACACAGAAGTACGGTGCGCCCTACAGAGATGTAAGCATGCAGGTAAAATCTAGGGAAGTCTCCATTCTTTGCTATTGCTCAGCCTCCACTTCCTCAGCAGGTCTGGGCCAGCCAGGCACAGAGCCTCTCCTCACCAGCTTGCTGGGGTTTCTTACCTTGCACCTACAGTGTCTGAAACTAATCCAAAGCTACCATACAGCACTGCCTTCTCCATTGCCCGTGAACGAGCTCAGGATGACTGTTACAAAATCATCGTGTAGCTCCCGCTCAGCTTCTGTGTCTGCACCTACAAGGTGGAATGGGGCTGTCGTCCCTGCTTTCCTAGTTTGGGCAGCTAAAACATAGCACTGTAGATTGGGCAGCTGAAATAACAAATATTTGTTACAGTTCAAAAGTCTCAAAGACCAAGACCAAGAAACCAGATGGCTGAATGAAAAATAAAGACAGGTCTGCTCGAAGGTAAGGTTGAAGGGAGGGTTTGTCACAGATATGAGAGAGAGAACAGTCAGAGGCATCTGGAAGAGTCCAGACTGAACATGGCCAGCAGACTGAACTGAGCCAGGGGGAGGTGGCCACCCAGGGAGGACAAGCGGACTGAGAAAGATCCAGGAGCAGAGTCAGCCAGGAGCTAAAATGGCTGGGTTCTACAGGAGAAAAGAGCAGCCAGGGGAAGGGACAAAACCCAGGGGCGGGAGAAGTTTAGGGTATGACTTGGATATGCCAGCCAGAATGACTCTGTCCCTACTTGTGAGTAGGGACCAAGAAAGACTGGTAACCAGAGTTCACTTTGGTATGTTAAATAGGCACCTCGGTTACCCATTTGTCCTGAGTTTCTTTGAAATTGAACATCCCTGCTTTTTGTTGCTGAGAAGGGGCAGCATCACCTCTTCTGTAACTACTTCTAGCTGAAATAGGGGAGTCGTTGGGGATCCGGCTGGAATGGTGGTCACAGCCAAGAAGGACAAAAGGAACGCAGGCTGGAAGACAGTTGTTTTGCTTGCTCTTACTGTCCAAGTTCAGAAGGACCATCTGGGGCTCGTGAAGAGCAGGCTGCTTTGGAGCAGTCTAGGACACAGGTTCCAAGGAACATCTGGGGCTGGAGCTTTGCAGGTAGTTTTAGAGCTGTATGACTCTTCAGCTGACTGGAAATCTGCTGGGACAGACTAGGAACCTGAGGTAAAGTTAAGGAATTTAGGAGAATTTTTATCTTAGGTGAACACTCGAAATTTCCATGCCGATGGTCTTGGTAATTGGAAGAGGGAAGAAGTCCCAAGACCAGGGAAATGGGAAGCCCACCCTCAGGTGGAGGAGACTTAGTGTGTTGATTAACAGGAGTACTTATCTGGAGTACATACACTTTGGCCTGTAACAGGTGGATACAGTCATGACTTCCTGAAGCTTATAAGAATTTTTTAATTTTAAAAAAGATAAAAGTTTTAGACATTTTAGCATTACCACTGTTCTGAAATCCACATTGTAGAAAAAGTAGTAGATTCACACCTTCAAGTCAGAGTAAAAGCTTGGGGACCCAAAAATATTATTCTAGGTTAAAAACATTAACACTTTTCCTATCTATCCAAGAAACTGGAAATATAGATTGGACAGAGATGTTTTCAGCATGATTGAGAAGCACTTTTAACTCTGTATTTAGAAGACAACCAAAGGAGACTTAAATTTGAGCTTGTGACTATGTTAAGAGTAGCAGTGCTTACCAGAGCCTGGATTAACCGTGTATCAGAGCTCCGTTGATTAATGGGAAAAGTCTGAACATTTCTAGACTTAGCATGATAACAGCATACTGAGGGTAAGGATGCTGAAGCATTTGTCATCCCTTTAAATGATTTGCACTGATACACATTAAATTACTTTCTTAGACCCTCATAACTTACATAAACTTTGAACTTTTTCTTTTCATCTAATTATTTGCCATAAGGCTCGGGTGCTTGGTTCCTAGGAGAAGTCATTGCAAGGCAGGTTCCTTTAAATGAAGGAATAGTAAAAAGTTACATTGAAACCTGTTGTGAGTGTATCTTTTTATCAGTGTGAGGTCTACCAACGAGGTAAACTGTGTCTGCGTCTGCCTTTCTCGGCAGGAAACCTAGTAACTCTAGGTTGCCTGATTTTATATATGAAATGAATTGAACAGGCAGCTGCAGCATTGCAGGGAGGAGCTGGGTGCCTGTTGCTGTTAACATAAAGCTACAATTAGCCATCAATATCATCAGAGACCTGCAAAGAATAAATTATAGCAGGAAGTATAATCCAAATGGCTTAGTTATCAAGTCAAATGGCAGAGACTTACTGCTGGATGGTTATCCTCGGCTCCTGTGGTATTTGGGTGTTGAGGCTAGAAGCAGTTGGTCTTTGGGTGTCACACAGGACAGACTACATTACAGCTTTGGCTGCTGCATGGAACAGCATTGGCCAGACCCAGAAAATCTGAGAGATTTTTCTGTGGAGAAGGAGTTTGGAAAAACTGACCCACTTTGGCAAGGCAGAGTAGAGCAGTCAACCCAACCATGCAGTTTGGGCAGAGTCCTGGCAGCAGGCAAAGCAGGGGTGGGGGCAGTTTTTCCAAGTGGTTAGAGTTACACTGATCCAGGTGAAGTTGACTGTGCCCTGGCATCTTCTTTGGAGCCCTTAGGATTGCTGCTAGGCACTGGCGTTTCTGTATATCATGGGAAGATTTTTCCATTAAACAGTTAAGTGCCATATTCAGCAGATCTCTGAAGAGTTTGAGGACTATTATCTATTAAGGATACCTGAGTTAAACAAAATTTGCTTGTTTTTAGTTACTAGTTTTAGACATAACCTTGAAAACAAATATAGGATAGTAAACAATGCTTATCTCTGTACATGAATTACATTTGTACTTAGCATGGCTTATGAGCGTAGTGCATTAAGGAGCACATTAAAAATTGATCATTTATAAGGTGGCTGAGCATTCACTTGCACATCTTAATTATCTTCAACGGTTTACAAGCTAGTATCTTTATAAGATCAGCATTTACAGCTTCATCTCTGTTAAGTTTGAGCCTTAAAAAATCTGAGTGAAGATTGAATTGAAGATCCTTTAGCAACTAAATAAAACTTGAAGCCATAGAAAGACTGAAAACTTTACAAAGCTATAAATACAGTTCACATAGAGACTGGAAATCTTAATTGCTTTCATCCTTTCATAGTGCACTATTATAGAACATACAGTTTCTTGTATGACTCAGTTTATCCAAATAGTTAAAGTTTAGAAAAGTTAGCAAAGACAGAGAGGCTAAACACAAATCTTCAAGTCAGTTACTGACTACTTGAGTAGACCTTAGGAATTTATAAACCTTATTTATCAAACATATGCTGCTCCTTACTTAAAATTTTTCAGAAGCCTAGTATTGAGCAATTAGCAAAAATAATAAGTGGTTAAACACGCATCTCTGAGTCATGTTCTGTTCACCTGAGTAGACCTTTATAACCTTAGGAATTTATTATCACATAAAAATCCATCCTAATCCAAAATATTTTGTAGACCTACTGTTGCCTCCTTGATCTAAAAAGGAGATACAATATAATTTAATTGTAGGGCTCAGTAGGACTGATAAGTTTTATAAGTGTTGCTTTACAACACATGGTCATCTAAACCCAAATGGTGGTGAAGTTACATTGCACAAACTCTTTTTTAACCTTAGTAAAGATGGCTGTCAGCCATATAGTTGCTATTTTAAGACATCTATTTTCTAATAGATCTAGTTTTTAAACAAGAGTTGAATCCAAGTTACATATACTTCCTTTGACAGCCCTTGGTGGCATGCCAAAGCACTGTTAAGAAGGCTGGCCAGCAGCTGGCCTGGGTCTGAAAAAGCCTGGGTTAAAACCAGTCTCGCTGAACATAGAGGACAATGAGGACTACTGAGACCCCAAGAACAATGGCAATGGGTTTTTGATCCTACTGCACCTATTGGTTTTGTGGGAGCCTAGGCAGTTTGGATGCTCACCTTACTAGACCTGGATGGAGGTGGGTGGTCCTTGGACTTCCCACAGGGCAGGGAACCCTGATTGCTCTTTGGGCTGACGAGGGAGGGGGACTTGATTGGGGGAGGGGAAGGGAAAGGGGAGGCGGCAGTGGGGCAGAGACAGAAATCTTTAATTAATTAATAAAGAAATAAATAAATTAAAAAAAAGAAGGCTGGCCAGGGAGAGGAGGGAGGGTGGAGGGGACCTCACTGAACAGGACCCTGAGATCTCCAAGCAGCACCTACATTTTAATCTCCCTTTCTTTCGACAGTGGTCACAAATACAGTGAGTCTGCGACACCTGTGGCTCCCCCTGAGGGCCTGCCAGCTCTGCTCTTACCCTGATGCTGTGGTCTCTTGGAGTCTCCTGTTATCTACTCTCAGGTGAAGCTGGCAAGTACCCTGGCTCCTGGGATGCAGAAGTCAACAACCTTCTCAGCACTCAGATGAGTTCACAAATCTCCCAGCTCCTGCCTCCACAGTGCAGCCCAGCATTCTCCGTGGGAGAGAGGGCACACTGCAGTGGACCGCAGTGCATCCTGAGCTCTGTGCACCAAGTGGCCAGGACTCGGAGCCCTACTGGATTCCCACCTGTCACTAGACCAAGTACTGCACATGGTATTTTTTCAATCTAGTGTTATTTTTTTTTTTTTTAGCTAGTGATAGCTGCTCTTGACCCAGGGAAAGTCATATGTACTGGCTTCCTCAATGAGCTTCAGTTTCGATGGCTGTTGCTTCTCCTCGATTAGAACTGTTTGACTGTACTGCTCTACCAAGTGGGAAGCAATGGACAATGGACTCATGATGAACTCTTTACAGCAGAGCTACATTTCACAATCTTTTAATTGTTTAGAACTTAAGATCTGTACCTGATATTGGTGTAACTCCTTTCCCGCTCAAGAGCTAACCACCCAACTCAAATGAATACCCCATACCCTAAGTCTTTCCTAACCTGACAAAGGAACCCCATAAAGTCCAGATTAGGAGCACCAAGGACAAGCTAATGCATCTTCAGTCATAGACAGTGCTATGTATTTGTAAATGAAGAATGACGAAGAAAGCAATATTGGACTCTATGTGCCTCCCAAGAAACTCAGAATCACCCTGAGTGAGAATGAGAGAAAATCTGGGTGGGAAATCCTGTTCACCAGGAGTTAAGGCTTCAGATCTCCATGTGCTTATGATCACCCAAGAACCTTCTGGACATGAAAGAGATCACCATCCAGACCTGGGTAGAACCTGAGACTCTTCATCTCTAATAAGCTTCCATACGGTGCTGATCCTTTAGTCCTGGGATCATACTGACAGCTGGGGCTCCATAGGTCTTGACAGAGACTAATGAAGCAGATTTGGCTACCCTCTGACAAACGCCACAGGGCATGTTCACAAGGATAACACATTCAAAGCCCCTGAACCATCCTCTGGCCAAAACCACTGTGGTGGTTTGAATAAGGACGCTTGGTCATCAGGGAGTAGCACCATTTGAGAGGGATTAGCAGTTGTGGGTTTGTCGGAGGAATTAAGTCACCAGGAGTGATTTGGGGGGATTCAGAAGCTCAAGCCATGCCCAGTGAATCTCTCTTTCTGCTGCTGATGTAGAACTCTCAGCTAGTTCTTCAGCACCATATCTGCCTGCATGCCACCATGCTCCCTGCCATGATGATAATGGACTAAACCTCTGAACTGTAAGCAAGCCCAAATTAAATGCTTTCTTTCATAAGAGTTGCTGTGTTCATGGTATCTCTTCACAGCAATAAAACACTAACCAAGACAAGCACCCTCAGAGAACTCTGAGATATCTTGGGTTTTGCCAGCTCTCCTGTCAGGGAAAGGAGACTGATACCATCTTTGTTTCTCTGCGGGCCTCATACTCAGTTAACAATTGGTGAGTGAATATACCTTCTACTGCTCTCTCCACTCCTGAGATGCTGCCCCCTTTCATCGTGGCCATCATACGTTCTCTTGACCTCTAACCCTGTGGATCATTGTTTCAGCTCTTTTTCTCTAAAGAAGCAAGCTCCAAAAAATGTGAGTTTGTAGAAGAAGAGAAGACAGGGAGATAGGAACAAAGGGGTGATGTCCATGCTCCAATTCCAGGAAAATGGGAGGAGCATAGTAGTGTAAGAGGTTAAAGAGATTTTAAGGACATGTGGGCAGGTGAAACACACATTATTTACTTCAAACAAAGGCTGCTACACAGGCAGCTACACACAGGCACCCAGGCACAGGCAGGCACATGGGCTACACATAAGCAGGTAGCACACAGGACCCATGGTGGTAAGCACATAGGCTTGTCAACAAACACATAGGATTGCTGTCAAAGGTGGAAGCTGAGGTCTCTGGTGTCTGGTCATCTTTATATAGAATCCACACAAAGGTGTCACTCTGACCTGAATAGTTATACAACAGATTACAACAATGTTTACTTTTGAGGTTCCCAGACTATCCAGTGTCAGCCACGTTTTGGCTGACTCATAGCATATATCCACATCACCACCATGTTGTCTAAACAGAAACTGATAGCTTCTGTTTCTTATAAAAGGTAGGGAAGAGAAAGAGAAAGGAATCTATGGAAAGAGACAAGTCACATGATCTACACTTAGCAAATTAAAGCCCTAAAAGGGCCATTTTTTTTCCATGTGTATTTAAAGTCAGAAGACCTGTATCCAATTCAAGCAGGCAACCCAGCAGAGCTCCTCTTTGCCCAGGAGAGGAGAGCCCTTTTCTACTTAAGCTTCCAGCTAATCAGGTGTGTGGTGATGCAATATTTTGAAAATATCTCTTGCATTCTGTGAGATTGGAACTTTCGCTGGATCTCACAGCTGTGTACTCAAACTGTTTAACCTTCCTTTAAGAGAACAATGGGACAATCAACCTTATTTGTCTTGAATTCTGCATGTAATACACTTTTACAACATAAGCTACTGCATAATCACAATCTTATGTTATGTATTCTTGCATGTCCCTGACCCATCATTTGCTGAAAGCAATCTTAATAAAGTTTAAATGAAATCATTTATTGATATTTATTGATAAACAGTGATATTTGTTATCTGGATCAGCCAGGATTATTTGGAGACCATGACTTAATCCCTTGTAGAATTCTGTTTAAAAGTTTTATAAAGTAAACTCCATTCGTTCCCCCAAGTGATGCTGTCTATGCCGTTAACAAAATAAAGAGTGGAGTTGTTTGTTAGGGACAGACAGATACCACCCCCACACAGACACAGTTCAGAAAACAGAGACAAGAATACACACAGAGAGACAGAGATCCATAAGAGGCCTTCAGATAGGCACAGATTCAGACTAATATAACAGAAAGGCTGAGAATGGAAGACACAGGGGGCATAAAAAAAATTTAGATCTGAACTCATTCTTGGTTGAGAGACTCCATGGGGATGTGCTTCTGTCCCTTTCCTTAATGTGACACGGATGCTTATTGGTTACTTGGAATTAATTACTGTTGCCTATAATCGGTACAGGAAGAGAGCACTCATAGTAGGTAGGGCAGTCACTTTATTCTGTTAATTTACATCTTAATGTAATCCAGATATACTTTTACAGAAACACCCAGAATAACATTTGGTCAAGTGTCTGGTCAACCTAACACACACTATAACCAAGGGGAGGGGGCCTCTGTGATTCTCAATTTTGTAGTTCAGACAAAAAAATATCAGGTCCATTGTGATTCTAGAGGTTGAGATCTGGTTTTGTCTTTGTTATGTGGGTGTTCTTTTTGGTTTTGGAGGGGTTATTTGTTATTTGCTTGTTTGTTTGTCTGTTTGTTTTGAGACAGGGTCTCACTGTGTAGCTCTGACTGTTCTGGAATTCACTATGTAGACCAGACTAGCCTTGAACTCACAGAAATAGGCCTGCCTTTTTCTCCCAAGTGCTGGTACATGGGTGTGGACTTCCTTTGTTAGTTTGAGTCTTCTGGGCAAAAAGGTTGGGGTAAAACAGATGTGGGCAGGTTGGGTCTAGAGGTTAGAGATGTCTTGGTGGAATGAAGTCAAGTGGGCCGAGGGGACTGGGCGGGCGTGTAGCGTGTGCTTCCTGTTGCAGTGGAGTGTAGGGTGGAACTGTCTGGGTGAGAAGGTTGGATATGGCAGGGCAGAGTTCTGTAGTTTGGGGAACAGTTGGGGAGAGGATCCTACCCCAAGCCTAGAACTCCTTAGAAAGGAAGGCATGAAAAACCAGATGAGGCTAGTGTACTAGTTGAGATAGCAAGGCTAAAATTTCTGGATTGTGGTAAAGGTATGAATAGACATGGTAATCTGAATGAAAATGGTTCTCTTTGGCCCCGGCCCCTTGACTTTCTTTGCCTGCCTCAGACCCTTTGCCTGCTGGAGTGAACTGAGCAAAACACCTGTGCCTGGAGCTGATCTAAGCACGAGACCTTGATGGCAGGGGAGCGGGTTCTGATGAGGCCTGCAGCTGAAAGATCCCAGAGCTGGGGCGTGGCTATCAGTTCTATCAGTTAAGGATCCCTATATAAGCTTCCCTGGAGCACAATAAACTTGGCACTCTTGTATCAAGGATGACCCGTGTCCCCGTGTCTCTGTCTGTCTGTGTGTTCATGTGTTTTTAAGTCTCCAGCCTAGTTCCCGGCTCGCATACCATCCTGTAGTACAGGCACTACAGTTCCCATAGACTCACAGAGAGTGGCATCTTTGCAGGTGTGGCCTTGCTGGAGTAGAAGTGGCTTTATTGGAGGAAGCCTGTCACTGCAAGAGTAGAGGGGGATGGAGGAGTTAGGCTTTGAGGTTTTAGAAGCTCAAGCCAGGCCTAGTAGCTCACTGCCATCTTCAGATTCAGATGTAGAGCTCTTAGCTACCTCTCTGGCACCGTGTCTGCCACCATGCTTCCCACCATGATGATAATGGACTAAACTTCCAAACTCTAAGCCAGCCTCAATGAAATGTATTACCTTTATTACTCTGGTCATGGCATCAATTCACAGCAATGAAACCCTAAGACGGGAGAGGACAGGGATATTCACTAGGTTAGATCCTGGCAAACATGGGAAGTCTGGATACCTGTCAAGTTGGCAGAGTTGGCCCGTAGGAACTGGGGTGGTGAAGACTCGGCAGATTCCTGGCAAAGACTAGAGCTTGACTCTGATACAAGTGGGAGCGGTCAGAGTAGGCCAGGGCACGGGATGAGGGCCAGGCCAAATCCTGGAGGAGAACATAGAAAGTCTGGATACCTAGTGGGGTGGTGGAAGAAACCCAGAAGGATCCATGCATGGCTTCAGATAGAGCAAGTCCTGACAGAAGCCTGGGTGTTGGCTGCAATGCAGGTAGGAGTCTCTGGTCTTTCATTTTCCCTTTTTAATATTTCAAGCCTGGTGTGGGAGGTCCTTCTGTCAATGTGTTGCTTTCATTGGTTAATGAGTAAAGAAACTGCCTTGGCCTGATAGGGCAGAACTTAGGTAAGACAGAAATGAATTCTGAGAGGAAGAAAGCAGAGTGAGAGAGATATGCCATGGATCCACCAGAGACAGACACTGGGAATTTTACCTGGTAAGCCACTGCCACGTAGCAATACATAGATTAATAGAAATGAGTTAAATCAAGATGTGAGAGTCAATAAGAGGCAAAAGCTAATGGGAAATAGCAGTAATTTAATTAATACAGTTTCTGTGTGGTTATTTCGGGTGTAAGCTAGCCAGGCAGCCAGAACAAACAAGAGGCCCGCTCCTTGTAGCACAAGCCCAATGCCTTGAAAACAACTTTGTTTGAAACTAGATTTCAAGACCAGAAACCTGACCCCTGTTCAACATATCATGTTCAGCCACTTATCCCAAAGAAAGCAAACAAAATAACACTTGGAGAAGGCACAAAACTCTGCAGCCCAACTTCATGGTACTGGCATGAGTTCTAACTTTAAATAGAGAAAGAAATTGAGGCAGGGATAAGAAGCATGGTCAGAGTGTGTTCCAGTTGCTCATTCTCTGAGTTCTGATTCAGAAATATGGCTCAAAGAAGTCCCTGTGGTTTAAGGGAGCAATCTTATTCCCCATGAGATGATTGCTCCTTTTTGGGCAATCCTATCATGGGGTGTTATGAAATATTATTTTAAGATTTGTTACATTCTTTTATGCTGTGGAATATTTGTTTCATGGTGCAAAGATGTGTTGCATTCTTTTAAGCTGCATGTGTTACTTCGCCTGTCTAAAACACCTGATTGGTCTAATAAAGAGCTGAGTGGTCAATAATTAGACAGGAGAGAGAAATAAGTGGGACTGGCACATCGAGAGAATAAATAGAAAGAGAGGAGAGAAGAGGGGGGGCAAGAAAAGGAAAAGAGGAGAACACCAGAGACCCCGCAGCACAGCTAGCCACTGAATAAGAAGGAAAGAAAGAGACAGAGAATAAAGAAGGGTAAAAGCCCAGAGGCAAAAGGTAAATGGGACAATTCAAGTTAGCAGAGCTGACTAGAAACAAGCCAAGCCAAGACCAGGCTTTCATAAGGATGTCTCCATGTTTTTATTTGGGAACTGGGTGGTGGGCCCCCAAAAATGCAAAGAGAAAAAAAACTACGATGGGGTGATCTCTTTGTAGGTTCTGCTATGGGCAGAGATTTTGGATCTTGATGGGGTGTGAGCAGGGCATTGCTGATTCTCTCATCTTTGCTCCTTTAGTCTGGAAGAGGGCTGAGATAAGGAGCTTATCACCATTTTTAGAGAGTA